TATCGCGGCATACGCCTGTCGTTCCTTTCCCCATTTATGGAACAACGTATTTAGAAATTACGCAGCGAAGCATTCACGTGGAGGATCTCGCGCATGTGGAGCCGCGAGCACACGCGTACCGGTTCCATAACGAGGATTACTTCATCCTCCTTGTCCTTCGACCAGCCACCGATCTCTCGCGATACTTCACCGCTATACGCCTCGGCGACTTTGCCTTCTCAACCAATTGATGTATAATCAAATATTTCTTACCATTCTTTTTACGCGCATTTCATTCAGGAAAGTTCTTTTCATCATTCTTTTACATAATGATACTAATAGTGAACTAAATGAACGAGTTTATTATTTCTATTTTTGGATGGAGTAATTTCTTACGAATAGAACGATAACTACTGTACGTTTTATACCTTGAAACATTTTTATATTTGAACATCTTTGAAACGAGAAAGACCGCAAGTAGTTTATCGTAGTATCGATATTTATAGACGCTTACGTCACTTGCTACCCCACCGTAAGACATAGTAATCTATGGAGACTGCCGCCATATTCCATGGCGTTCGTTTCTGACGATTGCGATCACAAATCCTGCGTTACACCTTAAGCTTAATATAATAGTGTTCGGTGATCATAACAGTATTAATGTAGCATGGTATTGTAGAGCATAACTGCATCAGATGATTCGATATCGAGTATATATATTTACTGCAATTGTGCTAGATAAGGATTATATATCAGTTAAGAAATGTATGAAAAGTAGGTCGGTAGATAAGGAGAACGCGGAAGTACTCGAAATTTGGGAAACGATAAAGACAAATCTAGAGGGTTGCCCTAGCAACTTCAGCAAGATCGATGCGGAATACGATCGTCGATTCTTATCAGATGTTTACCGTACGGATGTCGTCCCGAATAAGAGCAGCGGATACAAAATTCATGAACTTTCTCACAGCATCTGAGAGCAGAGGTTCATGCTCGTTCATCGTCATTTATCGATGCCTAAGACTCGTTAGGCAACGATGTTCTTCTTCTGCAATTATCTATATTTAGTACCAATTACGACGGCTGAAGTGGAGATACTTAACCATCGCATTTGTACAGAGCTATAATTGTTACCCTGCCACAGTAGACCTCAGAGAAACTTCAGTAGATCACCGTTGAAACTTCGCATTCTCTCTGCAGCTTTCTATACTTCTTTTACGTTCAAACGAGGCTCTAATGATATCTTTTATAATTAGGGGCTTATAGGTTAGATAGGTTAAGAGTCTCACAGAGTGCACACTATTGTTCAGATGATAGACATCATCTTGTCACGGATAGAATTCAACTATTCATTTTAAACTATATTCCCTTATAAATATGAACAAAGTATCTTATAAGATCTGTTGTCAGTAGAGTCAGGAACATTTGTACCACGTACGTTTCGCAGATAGGAACCTTTATAAATAGCACACACATCGATTTACACAAAGAAAGTTTGCAACAAGCAATCGTAGCAGAATCTGGACGTAGATTTCGTTGTCAAGAGCCAAATCGATGCCGGCCACTAATTCGTTTCACGTCGGATGTACGTTTACTGGATCTTGCACACGCGTTCAATGGAGGTGACGAATGGTCCCCGAGGTTCCCGAATTCTTCCCGGTTGGACCGTGGCTAACAGTCGCAGAGAAGGCAAACGCTCCTGAGGGAAGGGTTTCGCGAGGACGTAACTCATCGCCACGCCTCTGCAACGTAGCACGTTGCATGAAGCAGTGCTTCCTTTGGCCGACGTGCATACGTAACGTTTGCCCTGTCGGCCTGTGACAGCCGAGCCTAGTGTGTACTATTCGCGTGTCAGCGCGAAACTTTCTACCCGACGGTGGTCTGTGCCTTCCTCTGTTCGTGACCGGACCCGGAGGAACGAATCAACCGACTTTTCTCCTCGTTCGCGCCTTCTAACCTCCTTACTCCTCTGCTGCGTTAATCGAGATAAAAACCTCCTTGCCTTCGCTGGATCTTTCCTCCTTTTATCTGATTCGCGTTCGTTCGTGTCCTTCGATTTCTGATAAGTTAACATCACTCGATCGTGTCGACTTTCATGTGTTTTTATACGATACGAGGCTTGCGAAGAATATATCGAGAAATGTCACATTCTGAAATTCAGGCGAGACGGCGCGATTAATTTAGTTCTCAAACTGGTAATACGCAGCCGAAATTGCAATGGAAGCTCGTACGATCGCGTTTCACGTTCGAGGCTCATATTGACTGCAGGTTCGATATTCGGATCACGAGTCGGAGACATCCTCCTTTCCCTTCGTTCCATCTCTTCATTCGCGTTCGTTGTTTCTGTTCGAGACACGGCCGGTTCCCTCCATTCTCCTCTTCTTCTCCGTTTCGTCGTTTCCGAAGGACGACCGCTCCGGAGAATAAAGCCTATCCATACTCTCAATCTGTCAACCGCCTCCCACCCGGCTACACGGCGCACATGGGGAATCAAGCGTTGTTATGTAAATATGGAAAAGGTTGTTGATTCATGCATGAGGAGGGCATGAATCTCGTTGTCTTGTCCGACGAGCCGTGAAACTGATGCATTTGTATCGCTAGCCTCTCTCGAGATCCTCTCTCGCGTATTGTGCTCGCGGTACGCGTGCGTTACGTGTGTTGTTACCTTGCTGCACCCTCCTACACGTTTATACGCCGATCGAACGAGAATTATTCCTCAATTTCTATTCGCGGTGCTGTGGAAATAGCCATGAATATCCTGACCAATCATAGACTGCCCGCTATCTATCTTTCTCCTCGCAAGCTGATAGGCATGGTACTTGGCTGTGCATATAAATGGTGGAGCGAGTGAGGCCAGTATATAAAATATGTTAACTATACTCGTCATCGATTGGTCAAGTGATCCGTTGAATACTCGTGTCCCGATTAAGTTGGTCGAGAGCTAAATTAAGTTGGTAGAACATCGAGAGCTAAGTTAGATTGGTAGAACATCGAGAGCCAGATTAAATACTAATCTATAGGTAATTTGCAATCAGTAAGAGGTGGATCGGTAGAACACCGAAGGCTAGATTAGGTTAGTGAAGTATCGACCAACGTTACACGTGTAAAGCCTAGACTGTGATAGTAGAACAACCGATTGAATATAATTCCACTGATATACCGGTAAAAGATTAATGATAAAGTTGATCTGCAGTGTCGTATATTGCTAGAGCGGTCCACTAACGCTACGAACATAAATGCAATTATATTCTCGTAGACGACAGAGAGTGTAGTCGGTAAAGTTCCAAAGCTTAGGTTAAATAGGTAGAGTAAATGATGAAGTATAGCGAGCTAGTACGTATAGTGGTAACAGATTAGCGGTACAGTTACTCTAGGACGCTGCTATAATCCACGATATATCGGTAAAATACGAGAGCGGTAGTAGGGCAAACGTTTCTGCGTCTTTCCAGCTCTTCTCGATACCCATCGAACGAAGGCGTTCGATTTCTCGCTAGTCGATGCCCTGAATACACCCTGAATTCCACACCTCGCGTACACGTTTATTTACGGTCGTGGCGCGTTTCGGCGCGAGTGTACGCGCGGCATGTCGCGTGTACGGATACTTGCAAGCAATAGACACGGCTCCTACGGTCGCGCAAGGATATTCACGGAGCCGCAATAAAGCATTTACCCACGCGTTGTGTATGCACATCTATCCTCATCCTCTTCGCGATATCGTCCGCGTATGCCTTCGTGCATACAATTGCATATCGTCCATCTTGGCCACACATTGCAAATATGTATGAACCTTAGCCCGCTGTTACTCGTGCCTCGAAAACGACTGCTCGTGATGTTGCCCGCTTCATGTTCTTACTGAATTCCACTTTCTGGTGCCTCCACTTTGCGGTTCATGATATTGTTTTATTCAGTAAACGTTTCATACGCTCAAACGAAACCTTTACTTTTATCCTCTGAACGAGGTTACAGTTCCGTTTCTTATTTGTCTTTTGGCGCTGCTAGCTGACTCACCGAATCAAACTCCGATTACGAAATTTTTATTTTGCTGGCAAGATTAATTCTTGTATGAAGAAGGAGTGTTTACGCTGTGACTATAATTTTATATTATGACTGTTCGTTTTCGTCTGGAACGTTCGTCCGAGACAGTGATAATCCAACCCGAAGGTATCCTAGCGCTATCTGATCGGAACTCCGGCGTATTTAATGGAAAAACGTAATATTTGTTCGGCTGATGAGCACGGTGAAATATGGCGGCGGCAGTAGGAAAGCGGAGGAGGCGTGGTGTTCAGGGGGTGGGTAGAATGAGACCAACTCGGGCATAAATCAACATTACTCTGCATTAGAGCAGAGTTTCCGGCGTAGGTACCTACTAGAGTTTACCAACAAGGTAAACTCCGGCTAAAGGTGGCTACGCCGCATTACGTGTACGTACAAGCCGGCCTCTCGCACGGTAAACAACGCTTGGTCCCCTCAACACGCGTGCAGTCTGCGCGTGTATCGGGTTTGCGGAGGCGACTCCAACCCCCTTAACTTCCAAGTTACTTACCTACTTGCCACTTAGACAACCCCCACCCTCGCACGCCTGAGACTGCGCCAGTAATTCAATGTCACTTTTGCTGCCGGTGCATTGGGACAAAGGTACCTCTGGACCAACCTTTTTGCGATTGTTCATTAGCGCTGTACATCGTTAAAATTTCTTTGTAAACTTGTCTGAAGCTGTCAGATTTATCAGAAGCAGGTCTGCTGTTATTCTTTTTTACGTTTATTTATTTCTGAAGGAGTTTTCGTGCTGACGTTTTTGAATCTCCTTTAGCCCTTTGCAAATTCAGTATATTTTTCAAGTAATTGTTGCTTGTCTTGATAGAGAAGAGATAGAATGCATGGACATACTAGTCAAATAATCAAGTTTACGTTAGGTGTGAGGTTCATCCCCACATTTTATTATACTGACTTGAACCAATCTGCATACAATGCAACAAAGACAAATAAATCTATTAATATAATTACCTTTACAATACACGTGAAGATATAAGTTGATAGTTTCAACTTGAAGCTATTGTAAATTTAAGAACAACTATACTATTTTTAATTGCTTTCTACTAGTTATTGAGACCATATATGCGAGAAAAGAAGAAGTTACCTACATCGTGACGGCCATGTTGTCGCGTTTGGTGGATGACGCTCCGCGAATGAAGGAAGTGCAGACGAGTATACATACGTCTTCCCTTGACCCGTCTAATTTGCATCCACGGCGATTAACATAATCTGTACGGCGAATATTTATTTGGAATTAGCCGTGGCTCGCTCGTAACTCATGCGGGAATTAGTTAAGCTCGAGGATTTCGGGCTTACCGATCCCTTCCTCCCTCTTTCGAGCCGGTGCCTTCACCTTCGCTACGCTTCCCCCTTATCGTGCGATCCTTTTCTCGTCCTTTCACCTCCTGTTAACCCCTTCCGCTGGCTCAAGTACATTCTGCATTTGGAACAAACAGTCCTAGATAACCTCAATTAATATCTCTATGTCACGGAAATAACGATGACACATTACTCCTTTCATTTACAGAGACAATGGTTACTAAGACAATTTTCAAATTAACTTCTTCTTTCTATATATTATTGATGCTGTAGTTTGATATGTAGTTACTCTCAGGGTGGGCAATAATTCTAAAAAATTCTATTCTGATTATGATTATGAAAGTGGTCCAATGATCATGAAAAGCAGCAGATCAACTCGTGACATCAAAATGGCAAATATCGAATTATGGTATGATAGAAATGTACGAAGTTGGCGATCGATTCCCAGCCAATTACCCAATAGACGTTAATTAGACGTTGATAGGTGGACGCACGGTCGAACAAAAATCTTAATCATCCGGATTCTATACGAAAATTTACATACATCCCGAGGGACAGAAATTCCGGTTGGGATTAAGGAGCCAACTGGAAATGCGCGAGTCGGGGCCCGAGCGAGGCGGATCGTGGCGGGAGAAGTCGCGAAACGCGGATGATGGATTCCCGTCAATTATGGAGGCAACATCGTATTGTTTTACCGTCCGACGGCAACATTGATTGATCGCTGCCGTAGTCGTGTAGCTACTTGCCTTCTTACCTTTTTGCGCCGCTCGGGACCAACACATCCATTCTCGGGCCAAACGCGTCCTCGTGTGCATCGTCGATCTCGGTGCATGTGCCGGAACGCACACCCACCTACTGGACGGTGTATCCGCCACGAACCTCCCTTCGGATAAACCTGGACCCCCGAACTTCTTGCTGATCCGTTCCTCGCATGCTGGACAAGCGCCACATCCAGCAACTTGCACAGCTTGCTCGTGGAAACCAATCGAAACCCCCCTGTGATTCACCTGGTGGACAAATTTTTCGTGGTGATGGAGATGCAAGAAGAGTACGCGGTGCAGTGTCATTTTTTTCACGGAAATTAATTTCGACAGGAAAATGAAACGATCTCGGATCATAACATGTCGATATAATTATTCAAGAGTTTCTTTGATCTTCCATCGTCATACTTTTTCAAAGTAAATACACCTTGCAAAGTGATAAAATGGTACTTGAACAAAATGATAATCCTAAGATACTGTCAAGTAGAAATCGAATAGAAACTTTCTATAGAAAGTGTAGAAATATTTCAAGCTTTCCAAGAATTTAGAAAACGTCTTCTTCAGCAATTGTTAAAAGAGTATCATAGAAAAAAAAAGGTTTCGATTCTAAAAGAAGCTGTGTCCGTTGGCAAACTCTATTTCTGTATGGCAGTCAGCAATGGGCCATTCATCAGGCGACTTGTTAAAGACAAACTTACGGTATTCAGACAGTCTGTACTTGAAGTAGCTGTCAAGGTGCCAAGCGTTAATAAATATACTAGCACCCTTGGTAAGAACAGATAGTCGAAATCGCTGACTCACTCTCGACCGACACCGAACACGTTGTTACCGCCATATATAACGTAACCACCAGACCTCGTGCTTATCTTCTTTTCGCTGTTTCGTACAAAAATTCTGCTTGTCGACTTTTTATTCATTTCGCGTGACAGTTTAGTAATCTTTCGAACGATCAGTCTCTCTCAGCTCATATAGATACAGCGAGGAGAGAAAGATGTTCAAGAAGATTCGTTAAAATACATCAAATTCGTTGATAAAACGAATAAAGTAGATTGTATCTGTCTTATTTCGCTGATATTTATCGAGTCACCAGTTTTTAGAGCCTTAGATTGTCGGATAAGTATGTTGTCAGGATTTTGGAACAGCGATAACAGAAGTGGTAATACAAGTAGAGTTTGGTGGTACAATTTTGTAAAATTTTCACTGATTAAAATTTACAGTCTGTCGGTTTGAATAAAGTTGGTAGATTTTAGCAAGAGTACAAAGTGTCTCTTCGTTTTAGATGCTTCAATGCCAAGTTTCGCTCCATCAGCCGCATTAAATGGACCGCCATCCTTCCTCGCGGTTGCTGCCCGGAGAAATAAACGCAAATTAGGCGTGTCGAGCAATCCCCTTCTGTAAAGTACATTCCTTCCCGCCACGATTAGAAATAGATTGAGTTTTCGAGTGCAACCAAGTTTATTCCAGAGCGAAAAATACCCCCGTCTTCTTTGTCGGGTTGTTCGATGAAAAAAGCATCGTCGCTTACCGGCGACATTCTTTCGCGTTCTGTTTGAACGTTTTATGGGTTTCGCCACGATTTAAGGGGTTGTAATTTCTAACTTTTCTTTCTTCTTTAAATGTTTGCGCTACTGTTCGTTCCTTGAACAATGGATACTTTTATCTCCCGTTCGGACGTGTACAGCAGTTTGCAACTTCCGATGGGAATTCTCCTTGCAGCTTAACTAGGTGATGCCCACGTTTCTATGTTTCCATCATTTCATACGCGTTTTGATAAACATAAGGCATCATTTCAAAGTTGTTCAAATGAAACATCATCTGAGCAACGCTGTGGTTAAAACCCAACCAGCGATTCGTAAAGGAAAATTTAAAAAAAATAAGCAAGAGAATTCTCATTAACTTGACGGTTTATATAACAAGCTTCTGAAAAATAGCGCGATGCAATTGTGGTAAGATGTAGAATTCATTTAAACTTGAAAATGTAACGGCACATAAAGTGAACTTGAAATTGATAGATTCTGTCCAGTTGGAAATGTACAGATAGCTAAATTTGTCATTTTCAGCGACCTAATATTCCTCGAATATCGCACTCCATCCATCTTTTCGCTCCAATGACACGTTTCCGTTGCCTCTTTAAAAGCCATTAATCGTCCCGTTGGCGTCAGCTTGGACACCAATGTCATCTTAAACCGCTGTCTTAGATCCGTCGAATGTCACTGGTTTCCTGGGCAAATAGATCGGCTGATAAGCCGGGTATCGGTGCCAAATCTTAGAGAATCGCGCGAGACCGATCATAAACGTCGGGAATAAAGCTCGTCCGCGACAACGATGTCCCTGGAAAAAATGGTGGATCGTTGGGAAATGGAAGGGGTATTAGACGCGACGGCATCGCGTAATAATGCTCATGATGGACGAGTTTCCAGCGTATTCTTGGCAGCGACTTCGCGGGGCCAAAGCCGGGCTATCGAACGGAACGGGTGGCTGGAGAGAAGTCGCTCGAACAGAAACGGGATAGGGAATTTTAGGGTGGCACTCGAACTAAAAGCAGATACTAAAGGCAGAAAAGTGGTGTGGGCTGTTGGCTGAAACGCACGTGGATTTGTACGATTCGGAATGCTCTGCGAAGCGTTCTATGCGTTTTAATGTTCTCCCTATTCTTCAAATTGTAATGGTTGCTCAAAGAAGCAATTTATCGCGTTATATTACGTGGTCATTTGCGCGAATAACGAATTAACAAATTGTATGAAAAATTCGTGTGCATTGGATGTAGTGAGAATAGCTTCTACAGATATGAAACAGTTTCAATTGTACCAAATATATATTTTTATTTTGTCATGTGGACCTAATGTAACGTATTAGTTCTACAGCATATCAGACCTTAAAATAGTCGAAGAGTATAATAGATAATAGAATAGAAATAGTAACAGTAGTACGAAAGATTATTATCCACAGTAAGAGTAGTATCGTGAATCCATGGTGAGCCAGAATCAGACACCGCTGCTTCCAACGAGCAAAACAAATATTTGGAGCCACGCCACTAAAAACTCGAGACGAGCCAACAGACGAGTTGATTTGTTTCCCTACATCGCCGCTTGCTTCCTTTCCTTTTTTTCTGAACTATCTTTCGCTGCCTCTCCTCCAATCCTCTGTCCTATCCTCGAAGTGGCATGGCCTCGCCTCCTCATACCCTTGTTCCTCTTTCTGGTGCCATCTTTGCGACGCTCACGATGCCGAGAACGTTCGAGCGTCTGTCCGAAAATGACTCCTATAAGTCAAGTTAAATGTACACTCGCCCCCATTCGCTGTTTATCGGCATACGTCTTTCTCTCCTCGAATGCGATCCTAGCTTCCTGTTGTGCTGCCATCGACCCGCGCTCTTATTTCTCTTTCTCGACATTTCAACCTACTATCTGTACGGTATAATGCAGTATTAAATTGACATTATTTATAGCATCTGTACACCGTTGGATAGTATCATCTTTGCTCGAGGACAATCGATACGAAAAGAAATAAAACGACTTAAAATTGTTATTGTAAATCAGTCCTTATGACTTTTTGGCTTTTGATGGGTCAGACAATATTGTTCGTAAATTCGTATTTACAGCAAGAGGACTGTGTTCAATTTTTAATATCGTCTTGAATGCTGTCACAATTTTATCGAAGAGATGTGGATAGTTTTTGAAAGCGACGAGGGTTAATTTCACCCCGGTGCCTTTCAACTCTCCTTCATTTGCACGCCACTTCTTTAAAACGTATCCTTTATCCGCAACGAACTAAACTTTTTCTACAAGGTTCTCTCTTATATTCACACCCTACGTTCACCCCTTTAGGTCGTTCCACTCGAGAACTCGCTTTTTTTCCCTCTTACCCTTGAAAGCTCCAACCTATGCTCATTTTCGCCGAGCAAGCGACTTTTTCATCGCACGAGCATACGTCTCGGACAAGCAAAAACTTGAATTTGCGTCTACCCTTAATACGTTTAGAATGATTGAAGCGATGAATTTCAAATTACCTAATATTCATTTTTAGGATAAAAATTGTTCAATTCTTTATTTTTTGCTTTCTTAAAATGTAACTCAGATAATAAATTTAGTTGTGATAGGAACAATTTCAATTTAATATTTAATGTTTCATTCCTCGTTCTTAAATTGCAATATGTTCGTGTTTGCGGTACGCTTTCGGCACATGTGTCATTTCGAGTGGAATATTTAATGCGTCGTAATACATTTGGTGATACAAGGCATGGTGATACCACGCATAGCAATGTAGTCTGTGGTGGTAAAGCAGGTAGTAATGTAACGCGTAGTGATACAACACATGGGAATACAACGAATAGCGATGCAAGGGGTGAAGATACAATGCATAAAGATACAACCCGCGGTGATCAAACACGTAACAATATTACAACAGCAGCAGAACGATATTGCGTGACAATATAACAAGGGTGTACCATATCTGCATTCATTACTGATTTATATTAAATCACACTTAGTCACTTTACTCGAAACTTCCTTATACATATTTTGTACGCATCTCGATTCATCATCCACGATTTAACGATTAAATGATACATGTACTGAATGATCGCACCTGAACCAACAGCAAAGTACAAGCAAAAATACAAATACCGTTCAGTTTATTCATTGCTCGTTTTCTCTCGAACGCGACAAAGATCGAAGCTCGTTATAATGGTGGCAAGCGTGTCGGTGAAAACTGTGCTCTCTTAGACCACGCGGATGTTCATATCGGCGATTTATGCGAACCCGTTGATAAATGGTGGCTTCTGGCTGGACTAGCGTTCGCTTGTCCCACGGTGACGAACGAGCTGCGGCCACTTGAATCGAAAGCCGAGACAATCATTTAAATTTAATTAAACTGGAACACGAATTTACGCGCTCACGAGGACGCTTTTAAATTCGCTTGCTCGGTGCGCGTCTGTCTTCACTCTGCAGTTATTTACGCTTTCCTCCGCGATACGAGTGCGGATCGCCGCTTTCGAACGCTTGTCCGCTAGACACTCCATGCTTTTCCGCTAGCTACATGTTTTGGATGTTGGACTTTTTGGAATGTTGGATGTTGGATGTTGAATGTTGGGTGTTGGACTTGGACATGGGTGGTGGATATGGATGGAATATTTCAGTCGTTAGATGTTTTAGACATTGAATGTTTTAGATGTTGAATGTTTCACATATTGGATATTTCTGACGTTGGATGTTTCTCATATTGAATATTTCTGACGTTGGATGTTT